CTCAACATCAAAAAAACTAAGATCATGGCCACTGGTCCCATCATCTCCTGGAAAATAGAAGGGGAAGATATGGAGGAAGTGACAGATTTTACTTTCTTGGGCTCCATGATCTCTGCAGATGGTGACAGCAGCCACAAAATTAAAAGACACTTGCTTCTTGGGAGGAAAGTGATGACAAACCTAGACAGCATTTTAAAAAGCAGAGACATCACCTTGCCAACAAAGGTCTGCATAGTCAAAGCTATGGTTTTTCCAGTAGCAATGTATGGAAGTGAGAGCTGGACCATAAAGAAGGCTGACTGCCAAAGAATTGATGCTTTTGAATTGTGGTGCTGGAGGAGACTCTTGAGAGTCCCCTGGATTGCAAAGAGAACAAACCTATCAATTTTAAAGGAAATCAACCCTGAGTGCTCACTGGAAGGACAGATCCTGAAGGTGAGGCTCCAGTACTTTGGCCATGTCATGAGAAGAGAAGACTCCCTGGAAAAGACCCTGATGTTGGGAAAGGGTGAAGGCAAGAGGAGAAGGGGACGACAAAGGACATTCAGTTTCACCACCCTCACAGGTGTGCTTGGTGGGAATATGGGAGAGGGCCTTCTCTGTCACTGCTCCCAGACTCTGGAACTCCCTCACACAGGAGCTCAGGAGGGCCAGCTGTTTGCTGTTCTTCTGCATGCAGACGAAGATCTTTCTGTTCAGACAGGCTTCCCCTTAGCAACTGGCTTTCTGAAAGGGGTTTTAAAAATGAGATGTGGTGCCTTGTTGCTTTTAAGTGTGTTCTTAGTATTGAATTTATAATATTTGTTTAATTGTTTTCAAATATTTGTATACTTACTGTTTTTAACTTACAAATATTGACTTTTTAATGATATAAAGTGCCTTGGGTCTTTTCTTAAGGAGAAAGGTGGGGTAAAAATATTTTAAATAAAGAGACAAATGAATAAAACTGACGGTCATTTAACTTTATAAAGACCTGAATCATCCAGGGATAAGCTGCTTGACAACATGCTGGATGCAGACCCTGGCTCCAGGATAATTACAAAGCCTTTTGTTTTGTCATGTGCCCCTTGGCATTCATGCACAATAACCTACAGCAAGTATGTAAGGTGCTTCAAGTACACAGAGAGGCTATGAAAGTTCTTGTATAATTGCTAGATCTCACTCTGAGAGCCCTTTGCTCCCAATATGCACCAATGTTTTTGTTGACATCTGTTTCCTGAAAGCTTCCAGGGCCTTATTCAGTATGAAAGATAAAGCACGGCAGCATCAGCATCGCAGTTTTTGCTCTTGTTTTTATTTGTGGGGGAGGGAAAGGAGTGGGATCCTTTTCTGGTTTTGGCTCATATCCACAGGATTTCAAAGCCTGAACCTTCCGCTTTTAGACATACAATGCATACCGGGTAATTGCTACAAGCAAAGCCAAGCTGCCTAAAACAAAAATCCTAATCTTTGCTGTGAGAGCATCACATTCACACTGTGAATAAAAATGAGTGATCTGCAACATCTGAGAGACAGCATGGCTCTGTATTATTCATTATTATTGATTTAAAAAAAAAACTCCACCAGGGTGGGGTCTGACATTCACCGTATCATTCCTCCTCACTCAGTGCTTACCAGTGCAGGTGGAGCAGGGGCAAAAAGGAGTTTCTTTTTCTTAGCTAAACAAACAAACAAACAAACAAAAAAAGCGGGGCAAAGAGGAGTTTCTTTTTCTTAGCTAAAGAAACAAACAAACAAACAAAAAAACCAGTTGTATGTGGTGGTGGTAGCTGGAGAATTTAAAAGTAACTAGATACAAGCAACAAAGTTTACTAACTAGTGAATTTGGGGGTAAATAGTAATATAGCTAATAATAAAAAAACAAACAAAATCATGTTGCTTTAGTATAAAATCCAAAAGCAAGGATGGATAATACTGGTTTTGGATCAGTAGAATACCAATTGATTGTATTTTAAATCATATATTGTTTAACTTATCTTTTAATATTTAATTTATTGTGTTTTTAAATTGTGTGAGTTTTAATGTTGTGAGCCGCTTTGGGTCCCTTGTTGGGAGAAATGTGGCATATAAATAAAACTAATAATAATAATAATAAAAAAACAGGTAAGCTTTACAGTGCAGCTTCTGGGTTTTGGTCATCTGTTTTTAATATTTTAGTTTCACCATAAGGGTATTTTCCAACATGGAAGTGACAAAATTACTTCTAGAATTTAATCACAAACACGTAACTTATTTAGTGACAACAAGTACCACCTAATTACTTTCAAAAGTTAGTTTTAAGGGTACTTTAAGCTGTTTCACCTTCTTCAGCCTTTTTCATAGGCAGACAGGCAAGATATAAATTAAGCACATACCTACCTACCTACCTACCCACCTACCCACCTACCTACCTACATACATACATACATAACTTTTTAGAGCCATTCTGAAGATACTTTCTTTCAGGCTTTATGCCAATCTTTTATCACTCCTAAGCAGCAAGGGAAGCAATGGCAATGCATTATGGTAATAATATGCAAACACAATCAGATACTTGTGCTATTGGCACAATGATAATGATTATTGCATCCTGGTTCCAGGAAATAATGAGGAATGCACCGGGTTCCTTTCAAAACATCATGTTCCAAGCCCTGGTAAGATCTCTTCCATTGCCAAGCTCCATCTGAGCTAATGCCAGCACTTGGCTGAGCAGCCTGTGTTGCATGACTCAACTTCTTTCCTTAAAATCTAAAACACATTCCCTCTCCTTCCTGACACTGGTCGGTAACCATAGATGGGAGTGAGAACAGAGCTCAGTTAA